ATGTACTAATTCAGCCACTATTTCATTTGGACGAACTTTAGCCTGTGACGTGTTATACCTCATTTTAAAAACCCAGAACCAGGAGTATTCCCTTGTTGTATTCAAATCATAACACTGGATAACAAAAATTATTTTTTGAAAATAGTCCAGGGTTTTCCAGCTGAATTAGACTAATTTCGATGCTCTGAGTCCGAAAATGACCTTGGTTTTGCTCAATCAGGTCAGGATTTTTTGCTACAGAAATATTTTTTTTAATCGATTTTGCGTAAAAAACTAATTTCTGCGGATCATCAGCTGAGAAACCAAGAAATAAAAGTCAACGTATCCAAAGTCATTCAGTTTTTATTTACTCCATCCAATTTGATAAGCAGAATTCATAATAACGTAGACGTACATAATCCGTAACACTATGGCTGTATCTCAAAAAGTTGACCTGATAGAGCAAAATGCATGTGATATTCGGACTCAGAACACCAAAACTAGTCTAAATCAGTTGAGAAACCCCTGACCATTTTTTGGCTGTCAACTTGTGTAATTAATGGTTTAAAATTGGGCTTAGAAATCGGAAATCAGCTGACAATAATAGTAAAATTTAAAAAATAAGCCAATCCTTTTCAATGGTGTGACCACGTTTCACCATTGTTGTGTAAATAGGCAGAATGCAGAGCGATACGGATGGACTGAATACCAAAGTACGTGGACTTATTTGATACTGTTTTAGCTCAATTCCAAATGCAGGATATCTGATGCATAGATTACAGTTTTGCATCGGCCTAAATCACAACAGTAGAAATATGGGAGGACTTTACAAAGCTCTCGATTCGCCAACAACATATCAGAGAATCAGACAGTTCGCAGAGGAAATGCAAAGATAACAAACACATTCAGCCATTGGTCCATCTCTGGGGGGTGCCTCTATATGACTTCAATACAATAACGTTGGTGTAATCCCATTCGAGGAGAATTGAAAAGTGCTTATTTGATCCGTTCTTTTAAAGTCGCCGGTCAGTGAGTGAATTTGATCTCGGACTAATGGATGTATTCGATCAATTCTGTTCTGGGGCTATAAGCGATGCCCCCAACAGACCGAGAAACATTGCCCTGAAGTCTGCTGGCTCAGGGAAAGTACGGAGTCGGTGAATAACAAGGAGATTGTCTGCTGCACACTGACCTTGCTTGAAATTTGGTTTTTGGACGCCTTTTTTCACCACGGGGAAGACAGAAACGTGTCAGAAATAATGAAATCATACTGAATTTCAATATAAGTCTTTGAACTGATTGATTTGAGTTTGAACAGTTTGATTCTCTGATCCGTTGTTGGCGAATCAACACCTTTGTGTAGTCCTCGGAGATAGCTACTGTTGTGGTTTAGGGCAACACACAAATAAATTGAATTGAACGATGCGAGTATCAGGATCAGACGCAATCGCGATATGATGTTCTACAGCAAGTACCACTATGACATCCCACTCAAAGCAGTTTCTGCCAGCAAAACAAAAGTATCGCCCCTAAATTCAGTTACTGTGTTTTAAGCCGGTAATTTTAAACTTTGGAACAAGCAAAACTAACCTTCAACTCCCTCTAGTGCAGACACGTCAAACCCAGGCCCGTGGGCGAGACCATTTTTAGTGGCCCTAGAAATTATTTTCAGTCATCCTTATCACAGAGAGTTGCCACATTGATGGTGACGGGCTGTAGAGCCCTGCACGGGCCTATTATCTGGGCCCGAGCCCGGCCCTGGCCCGAGGGGGTGGCGCCCCAGCCCGGCCCGGCCCGATATGGTTTCTCAATTTTCAGGCCCGAAACCCGCATCAAGCCCGCCTTTTTTTTTTTTTTTTGTAACCTCCCATAACAATGTTTTAGCGTAGTATATAGTGCCGCGCACTGATATGAACGCAGACTTAGCTAGAGGGCGGAGTTATACATGGTAGTGATGTGTTGCAATGAGTTCTGTGTGTGCGGAGTGGTGCAGAGTGAACATCTGTATGATACACAGCTGTATGATGCCCAGATGCTGCAACACACCCGTAAGTAACGCTGTGTGTCGTCAATGACAACACTACACAGAACAACAAACACTACAGCGTGATAGAACGCTATATTCAGTGGGTGCGTTCGTAAATGTATTCTGCCGCTCTGAAAATGAAGAGCCCGAGCCCGGCCCGTGTCCGAGGTCATTATGCGGTCATCGGCCCGAAGCCCGGCCCTCGGGCTGTCGGGCCGTCGGGGCCCTCGGGCCAAGGGCTCAAGTGCAGGGCTCTAACGGGCTGCTATGGTATGTTGTACTTCATTTTAAAGTCTATTGTCTCAGGAAAACAGCCATATAAATGAATCTGCTCTTAAAGGTTGGCAGAAATGTAATTCAATGTAATTATTAAGTTATTTATTATTATTTATCTGTTGGTCTATTACTATTTGCCCCAGCTGTGGTTGAATCCAAACCTGCAAGAAAATAATATCAAAACTTGTGTTAAATTGTCCAATAAAGTAAACCACTTTTATACTTCTGGCCTCAACCAGCTCTTATGTTTTTGCAATTTGACCCCCAACCTTGTACCTTGCTCTAGTGGTAGCACAGGGACACGGTAGGCTGATGGCATTAATTACCCTTCATACTTGTTTCAACAGATATTTTCTTTATAATGTATTATTTCATTTCATTTTATTTATTCTTTTTTCATGGTAATGCAACATACTATACAATTGGAACAAATCAACAAACACAACAATAATACATTCCATGAAAAGAAGAACAGGAGTAGGATGAAGAAAAAAAATCTTATAAGCTCCTACCCCATTCTTTAAAAAAAAAAAAAACATTACAAATTAGATGGCCACACCGATGCCAAAAGATAACAATAGCCCAGACCAGATGTAATCAGCTTTCAATTTTAACAAGTTTCTTTCTTTTTTTCCCGATTATTATTAATAATTTTGCTAAAACAACAGTGATGCAATGGTGACAACAGCGGCGACGGGAACAGCGACGAGTCCATCAAACCACACAACGCACACCCACGTGCACATACAGGGAGACATGCACGGACACACACAGGCACACCCACAGCACACACACAAAAGGATGGAGAGGATCTATTGACGTATTTGTGATGAGCCCTATGCTGTGTGTTGCATTAAAAAAACAAGGTTTGAGTGGGCAGCTGTCGAAAGATGTTTGACCTCCCACAGCTGCCCGGCACCTGCTTGCCCTACATTAGTGATTGACAGAGTTGTGCCCTAAGATAGGTGTTGTGTTTAAAAAGACAGGAGTTAGCGGAAGTCCAGAGGTGCTACACCCCTGACATTCCCTCCATTCCTGCTCACCCTGTACTGAAGAGGATGTGTATATGTACTCGTGATGAGCCCTATGCTGTATGGTGTATTTAAAAAAGCGAGGTTTGTGTGGGCAGCTGTTGAGAGACGTATGACCTCCCACAGCTGCTCAACACCCGCTTACCCTGCACTGAAAATGTGTTCCTCTTTTGTTTTTTGTTTTTTTTTTTTTTTTTTTTTTTTGCGTACTGTGAGCATACCTGTATACACCCATACAGACACACCCACACGAACACATAGGTACGCGCCACACAACCAGACAGTCCCGCCATCGCCCCCATCACCACCGCCACACCACTACATCACCACCATCGTTATCAGCACTGTTGTTGTAAATTTAACAATTTTCACATTCATCTTTGTACAAGTTAAGAATGTTCTGTTTATACTTATATTTAAATTGAAGAATATTTGAACAACATTTTAGATCTTTTTCTAGAGAGTTCCATTGTTTCACACCAGATACTGAGACACACATTTGTTTAAGGGCATTTCCTGCAAAAGGTTGTTTAAAGTCAGTATTTCTTCTACTTGTCTCACTATTTACAGTAAAAAGGGTTTGAAGTCCATGCGGTAACAGGCAGTGTTTTGCTTTATAAACAACTAATAAAGTTTGTAAAGAAACCAAGTCCTTTAATTTGAGTAGTCCTGACCTCAGAAACAGACCTGTAGTATGTTCTCTTGGAGCAACTCCATTAATTATTCTTATAGCCCTTTAAGAATTAAACTTTAAGAATTGACTTTAAGAATTGACTTTAAGAATTGACTTCTTCAATTATTTGAAGAAGTCTTTGTGTGTAACGTGTAGTGCAGCACTTTCTATGAAGTCTTTGTGAAACTTTTGTTGTGGTAGATAAAGAGCACTTTGTTTTTGCCCTTTTTAAGACATTCAGCAAATGTCAGATTGACTGGCAGCAGTTTTGGTAACATGACAGTGTTTTGTTCTGAGTTATTCACAGCCATTAGTCACCCGATAAAGTCTCGCAAAAGAATTGGTCGAGATTTCTTATGTTTTTGTCTTCGGAAACTCCCCCCACTCATTTAATCAAACCCAATACATACATGTTCTACCTCATTTCAAAGCTCAAAATCTGCAGAAGTACATTTTTTAAATTATTTAAATGGTTGTGCAGAATAAATATGTCATTGGACCCAAAAAGAAAAAAATCAAATCGGTTGGTCCATAATAGTTATTGCAATACTGGGCGACACAGTGGCGCGGTGGTTTAGAGCAAGAATGCCCTGGGTTCCATTCCACCTCTAGGTCTTTCTGTGTGGAGTTTGCATGTTCTCCCCGTGTGTGCGTAGGTTTCCTCCGGGTGCTCCTGGTCTGAATGTAATATGTCAGTGAATGGATGGCTTCGGTGCGTCCCAATCAATGTTTGGTGTCTTGCTTCCGTCATCAACAACGATTGTAAAGGGCCTTGTATGACTTTGGTCTATAAAATGCGCTATATAAACAAGGATTACTTACTTCCTTACCCTCAATGTAAAGTATCGGTGTATCTGTAATTTGTGTGCTAAAAGTGCTGATAAGGGCTGTGTTTTACTGGCACAGAGTTTTGGCCGACCTGTCTCTGTTACAAGTAGGTTGATTGTTATTGCTTTAGACAGGAAAAATTTAATATCAAGACCGGAGCCAGCGGTTCCCAAATGGCGGGCGTGAAATGGATGTGGACCGTGCCAAATGCATTCTACAGCGTTAGTGATTTCTAATATTATAATCTGTTCTAGCACCTTGTTTTTAATGCGTGCTACATACTTCAGATAACTCCTGCAAATCCTTCAGCTCTGCCCCTCGTGCCAGAGAACGAGGTGTGCATTCCTGGCCCGCTATCCAGAGGAATCTGAAATTTCATCCGTTGGGCCTGGCTCCGTCTGTGGCTGCTGCTACAACAGAGCTGCCTCCACAGCAGCTCTACTCCCCGTCCTCCCCGTTGTCCCAGTCCACCCCCGTCCTTTCCATTCCCCCTCGTCCACCCAGTCCGCCATGTCTCCCCCTGTCCTCCCGGTTGTCCCAGTCTGTCCCCTTCCCCCCAATCCTTCCCGTCCTCCCAGTATGCTCATCTACCCCGTTTACGTAGTCCCCCCCCGTCCTACCCAGTCCACCCAGTCCTCCCTGTCATTCCCAGTCCGCCCCGTCCTTCTCATTGTCCCAGTCCTCCCCGTCCTTCCAGTGCCCCGTCCCGCCATCCTTCCGAGTCCCCTCGTCTACCCAGTCCACACGGTTGTCCCAGTCCCCCCCCCCGTCCGCCCCGTCCTCCCAGTCCACCTGTCCTCGTAGTCCCCCTCCTCTACCCCAGTCCACCCAGTCCACCCAGTGCTCCTCATCCCGCCCATCCACCCTGTCTTTCCCAGGTCCGCCCCGTCCTCCTCGTCGTTCCAGTCTCCCCCGTCCACCCAGTCCGCCCTTTCCCCCTTGTTGTCTCAGTCCTCCCTGTCCTCCCAGTCCCCTCGTCTACTGAGTCCTCCCTGTTGTCCCATCCTCCAGTCCCCCCGTCCTCCCTGTCCTTCCTCGTCCACCCCGTCCACCACGTCCTTCCAGTCCCCTCGTCTACCCAGTCCTCCCGGTTGTCCCAGTCCTACCCCATCCTACCAGTCCCCTGTCCTCCCAGTCCCCCCAGTCCTCCCTGTGCCCCACTCCTCCCTGTCCACCCGGTCCTCCCCGTCCACCCTGTCCTTGCAGGGAAACAGCCGTGTCCGTCAGCCACTGCAATAAATGTGCACTCACAGGCGCTCACCTGCTTTCCAACAAAGACAGGGATCAATAGAGCAAAGCCACTGTGTTAAAAGGCTCGACTGGCATCACAATCTGTCCTTCCACGCAATGCATTAGTTTGTTTTTGTTGTAACAGTGAGAAAAGGCATTTACAATTTTAAATGGCAACCGTTAATCATCTTTGGTTGAAGTATACTTAATAATAATTTATAATCATAATAACTCAAACTTATAAAGCGCTTTACAAAAAACATTAAAAAAAATGTATTAAGAAAAGGCAAGCTGAAACAGGTAGGATTTGAGATGTGATTTAAAGTTGCGTCGGAACTTTCTGATTGGTCGTGGGAGTGAGTTCCAGAGAGTGGGGGCGGCTGCGGCGAAGGAATACAGTACCGGTGAAACTCGGAAAATTTAAAATATTGTTCAGAAGTGATTTTACTTCTGTGATACAACTTAAAATTGGGAAAGTAACACATGATAGACTCACTATACGCAGAGCGAGATATGACCTTTTATACCAAGCCTTTAGTGTTATGATGTTGATAATTGGCTCGCAGCTTGTGAAAACCCAATCTCTGAAGAGTTTCACCAGTACATCCTACAAATAACATGTCCCCATTAAAGCATTAAAGCATACTGAACAGAAAGCATCCTTCTCACAGCTTTTTTTTCAAGCCGTTTTTGAAAACCAAAATCCCAAAGGCTGCTTTCCTCACACCCGGAGCGACATTTAAAACGGCTCAGCATTTAGTTTTTAGTCTCATGGCGTGTTCAGTTTGAATCACAATATGGCAGTAATTTAGACAGCATCACTTTTATTGGTAAATGTGGGTCAAGGGGAGAAGATTAAAAAACACCATATGAGGGATAAGACTTTGCATAATGACAGCGTAACGAGCCGTGGAGCCGTGTTTGGGTGAATGAAGCAAAGTCATAAAAATATGTTTAAAATATTTCTCCATGTGAACAATAAGCCCTAGTCCATTATAGTGTGACTCCTTGGGGTCCGGGACAACTTGTCTGAAGTTTGTTTTGACCCTTTTGAAAGAGAAAAATGGTCTAAACAACACGGCAAGCTTTCCCACTGGTGCTCCAGGTCGTCACGCCGTTTCAGCACGGGTCATTTGCTTATATGTTTCCAAAATAGAATTCCTTCGTGATTCAAAAGTAAAAACTCGAAAAATACGTCACTAAACCAGTAATCAGAGGGACGTCATTTGGCCGCCGCCCCCTTTTCCTGATTGGTCAGCTGAAATGCCAATCAAGTGTGTTTAGTCAATGCTCTGTCTCTGTTCATTTTGTACGAGGGAAAAAAAAACCTTACAGTTCCTTTAAATCTGAAAGTAAAGATAACAGATTAATAAATACAGACAGAAATCTTATCAGCGCTATTCTTAAAAGCTCTGGATAACACTGGATATTAGCGTGTCTGGGGCTAAAAACGACTCCAGGTTGTTCCAAGGACATAGACGGATTTTTGTCCTTTTTGAATCAACATTAACATTTGAAATCGTGAAGAGACGAGAGCCTTGAACCCACTGATGGAGGCTGTGATTATTATGAATGACTGATGCCCACACGGCCGCGTGGGCACCGAGCGCTATGTTCCATACACACACACACACACACACACACACACACACACACACACACACGAGACAAATAAACACAACACACACACATGCAGATGCACACACACAAATATGCATACTGACACATGTACACACACACACACACACACAGCTGCCCACAGAGACACATGTAGATGCACACACACTCACACAGACACACACGCACATGAGACAAATAAACACAACACACACACATGCAGATGCACACACACAAATATGCATACTAAGACATGTACACAAACTCACACACAGACATACACACAAACACACACAGACGCACACATACAGATGCACACAAACACACACACACACGCACACGAGACAAATAAACACAACACACAGACATGCAGATGCACACACACAAATTCATACTAACACATGTACACAAACTCACACACACAGATGCACATCACTTGGCAGAACAAAGCGGACGAGCAAACACAACACGGTGGAGGAATCATGGTGAAGATGCAGCAAATAGCATTACACAGGACACACAAACAGTGCAAGAGGAAAGACTATAGGGGGGGGGGGGGGGGGGGGGGGGGGGGGGGGGGGGGGGGGGGGGGGGGGGGGGGGGGGGGGGGGGGGGGAGAGATTTAGACTAATATATTTGATAATAAATAAATGTCTGTGTAAATTGATGTTAGGATAAGTAAAAATTATAATTGGATAATTATGGTATGAAATATATAGAAATGATTGGAGATAATGTATAAATAAATATATATAATTAATTAGCGAGGAGCGGGGAGCAGAAGGACGCAGCAGATTAATTGGTGGGGATTTATTTGATATAGGGGGGGGGGTGGGGGGGGGGGGGGGGGGGGGGGGGGGGGGTGGGGGGGGGGGGGGGGGGGGGTGTATATATATATTATGATGGATTATAGATATAGTAGTATAATATATATATATTTGTAATTTTTATGGATGATTGTGTAGGTATATATAGATATATATATATATATAATATATATATATTAAATATATATTATATATATATTTATAAAGTGGATTTGATGTAATATTAAGGATGTTGATGAAAGAGAAAAATATATAGAAGGAGGAAAGGGTGAGAAGGAAGGTGTGTATGGGGGAGTAAGTTTGAAGTTTAATATTAGTTTGGGGGTGAGGGAAGGGGTGGAGTTGTGGGTTGTATGTATGTGATATTATGAAATTTTGGATTAATTTTGAATATATTTTTGTGGTATTGTGTGTAGGTATTTAGATTGGATGAGAATGGGGGGGTAGTTGTAGGGGTTGTTGGGGGGGGATGTGGGGAATGTTTGGTTGATATTGTGTTGATGTTGAGGGGGGGGATATTGGTTGATTGGTGGTTTGAAGGGGAGTATATAGGGGGGTGGGTGGTTATTGTGGGGTGAGGAGGGTGTTTTGGGTGATTTATGTGAGAGAATGTATATTTAGTTTGTTAGGTATGGTGGAGAATTATAAAGAGGGTGTGTGTATGGGTTGGGATTGGGATTTGGGGGGGGTTGTTGTGGGAGGTATTGGGGAATTTGGTAATTGGGAGGGGGGGGGGTTTGAATTGATGGTGGAATGTTGGGATAGAGGATTAATGTTTGGGATATGAGGAGGGGGGATATGAAGAAATTGTTGGTAGGAATTTTTATTTATGGGAGATGTGGGTGAGAGTGGGTTTTATTAGGGGGGTAGTGGGGGATTTTGTGTAATATTATGTTTTATGATTTGTTAAAGATTTTTGGAATATATATATGTTTTGGTTGTGTATTGATGATTTGATGTTGTAGTTTTGTTGAGGGGGTGATTGTGATGGTCGAGTTTGTAGTTTTATTATAGGATTTTTTGGTGTTGATAGTTGTATATGTTTGGAGAGAGGAGTAGTTTTTTTGATGGTTTTGAGTTTTTGGGGGGGGAATATTTTTTTAATTATAGTTTGAATTATTAGTAATTTTTGTTGGTTATTGGTGGTTATTTTGGAGGTAATAATTGTTTTATGTTTTTGAATATTATGGATGTTTTAGTATGTGAATGTCTATTAAAACAATTTATTTAGTATAGTGGATTGATAGATTTAGGAAAAGAAAAGTGGTGGTGGTTGAGGCATTGTATGTAAAGATAGAGAAAAGAGGAAATTGATTTAGATATAATTGTTTAAGTAAAAATTCGAAAGAAATAAGGTAACATAACAAGAGAATATTATAAGTATAACTTGATGTAATAAATCACTGTAATTGTAGAGTAATGTCGTTTGAAAAAATGCGTAGGGAAATATAATGTAGAATATTAATCTAATTATATAAATATGATATTATTTGATTAATTATGTTGATAGTGTAGTGTTTGAAAGTGAAGTAAAGTAAGAATAAAAATATGAATGGGATTTGATTAAAGATGAAAAAATGTTGTATGAGGTAATGGAAGGAATTTTAAATAGTTATTATACGTTATAATATATAAAGAAATGTAGAAGTGAATTAAAGTGAAAGTTTTATTTAATATATAATTATGTAATAAAAGAGGAAGAATTTTAATTGGTTATGATGGGGGTTTAATTATTGTATAATAATGTTATTTGTATTATTATGTTAGGGAGTATTTAATAAGATAATTAATTATAGAACTAGTATGATTAATGAAATGAAATGTTGAATATGAAGATGATGTTATAGATTATAATATTATTTTATAATATTAGAAAAATTATATTAAATTTTGTGGGTTATATATGGAGTGGTCATAGGTGTTGATTTTATACATTAGGTTAATTGATGTGGTTTAAAGTGGATATTATGTTTATATTAATATGTAAAATTTAAAAATTAAAAAATATTAAATTTGATTTCTATTTTTGAAATTAAAAATGAATTTATAAATTATTTGATTGGGTGAATTAAATTATTTATATTTTAAATTATGAGATTATTTTGGAATGAGATGAAGAATTTATATATATGTATTATGTATAGTTGGATTATTGTATATGATGAGTTTAAGAAGTATGTTGGCTTGAAATTTGGATATGATATAGATTAAATGTGTCCGACTACATTTCTTTGGCCCGATCCTGGGCTTGGGGGTCACCGCTGGTCACCACGTCCACACCTGGGTTAAAAGGCTGCTTTGCTCCTGTTAGCAAAAAAAAAAAAAACGCCTGACCCTCACCGCGCGGGTTAATTCCAATCTATTTAAAGCATTGTCCTGGAGCTACGACATCAGACGGGGGCCGAGTGCAAAAGTGTAGTCAGTCACAACACAGCTGATAAGACCAGGCCTACCACAACAACAATGCGATAACCTTGGAGTGGCATTGACCAGACAGACAAGTATCAAGTGTATTGTGCGAAAGAGGCTTGAACTGTTGGACGAGAGGGAGAGAAGAAAGGCGAG